AAGCCGTACACTTAAATTTTAAAGAGTTTACATTTCGCGAAAGGAGAAAACACTAAAGTCAGCTATGCATGCGAGCAAGTGATTTAGTTTAGCTGAAGCATATTAAACAGTAAAAACACGTAAAAATAACGCAACGCGATGATAACTACACAGGACAGGCACTGAACAGTTCCGTGAGGCATGCCAGTTCCGTCAGAATTAAAAGCAGTTCGCTTTTTTTTCCCCGTCGCTTAACACCACTCAGGACTTGCAACACATTCTTCTTAGCGAAATGAACGCGTAGCGCTTTAAAATACATTGGTGTGGTGTGTGCGCGGTTGTTTAAAACAAGTGAAACTAATGTGTAGCGGTTATACGCAAAGCAAGCAAACGCGGCCGCAAGCACCTCCAGTTCGGCTCGCTTTCAAGGATGGCCGTCGTTTCGAAATTTATCCGGTGATCCAACGTCTCAGCATATTCGGCGACTGCGCTGCGCTCTTTGCAGAGCTTCTGTACATCGTTGGCGTGTTGCTTCAGTCGTTCCAGTACATTTTTCGTCTCGCCGATATACGAGGAGGGGCACTCGGCGCACTTAAATTTAGTAAATGCCACCGGGGGTCCTGTCCATTGTTGGCCGGTCTTTCGGGCGAGGGAGGAGGCGGCCCAGCGTACACGAAGGCACGTGCGCGATGCGAACCCCTTCTTTCTTGAAGATCCGCGCCAACATCTCGCTGGTTCCCTGAACGTATGGGACCAGTAGGCGTTTCGGGGGACTGCCATTTAAGGTTGATTGGAGTTTTTGTATCCTCTGTTGCTCTACGTGGTGGGTGGCGGCTCGAATGGTCACATGCCCTTAATTGGCAGCCCCCCGAAGGGTCAACAACACTTCTCTGTCTTGGTCGTTAAACAAGTTCCTTTTTCAGAATAAGAGAATGGAGTGACTCGGAAGGTTGTAAAAAACGACAGAAAATACATTGCTTCGACACAGTAGATCTCGCTCGCGTTCTGGCGAATCACCACAAGGTCAACATTACATCGAAAAAAAAAGCAAGGATGGGGTTCGAGCTTCTACGTATGTGCTTCCAGCTTATCTCATCGGGGCAGCCTTCCGGTGTCACGGCGAGTGAATTTGGTCAAGTGAACCAGCGAAAATCGAGTAGCGGGTCGGCATTTTTTTCTTGTATTTTGAATTTTTTTATGTCTAATAACTTCAGACTGCATGCCGTTTTTGCTGCATTAGTCTGTCTGTACTTTAGTCTACGCAAACCTCGAACAAAACACGGGCGTTTGAATAGTGCTGAAGGTCCCCTTTAGTGATCACTCGCTCGCTGGATTTCGTGCCAACCGGTTGTGCCCTCGCGATCTCCGACGTCAGCCTAGCTCTGGCCGACTGGGCTGGCCCTGTGCCATCTCCCGACGCCGATCTTCGACGACAGCGTAGCTGTGGCCTACTACGCGACCTCCTGACGCCGACAAGAGCTCTCGCCAGTGGTGCCCCGTCCTGACTCCTGCAACCGTGTCCATCTTTCCTGTCTTCTCCTTACTTCCGTCGTTCGCTGTCCCTGCGCCTCGCTCTCTCCTTCCTCTCTCTCTATCTCTTTACTTTTTAATACTATCCTTTTAATTCCTTCTCTACCCCCATCCCTCGTGAGCTACTGTTGAGGTGTCCTCCCCCTAAGAGACAGTTACGGGGCTCGCTTTTCTCTTCTTTTCACTTAAGATCACTTTCCCCCTGGCGTTGGTAATGAGTCAATAACCCTCTCTCAGAAAGAGATCCATTTTTACTGGAGATGAACACGTGCGTTGTGAGGCAGAGTGGTGACATGGTGATGTTGACGGTACAGCAACATTTTTGATATTGTGGCAGTCACTTGTGTTTATCTTGTCATGATATAAATGTGTTCACATTCCCCAATAAAGTTTAGTTGCAAGTCAGCGCTCTGTTCCTGCCATTTTCGTGCTCTTTCTTTTCTTACTTTGTGAACGAACTTGCTCAAGCTTTAACTTTAGCAAGTTTTATTCACATTATTCTCATAAATATTTTTCTTCGTGCTGTGGTATTTTGGTTGCAGTCCTTTAGAAAATGTTGCACTAGGACCAGAATATTGCACATACATCATCATTGATGTTTGCCTGGAAACTTGACCTGATACATTTTTTTTTCGTTTATGTATGCTGCCTCCCTTAATGAAGTCAACTTGTACCATCTGGAGCAAGAATGAGCAATAAAACAGTTTCACCGATACCATATGTTCACCACTTCAATTGTTGTATAATCTTATTTTCTGTTGTATCAGCTTTTCGATTTGGAGGTGTTGAAAACCAGAGCACATAACAAGTTTCATTGTTTAACAGTCAGCTACAGAGCTAAGAGGCAGGGCTGTCATCAGAAGCTGCACGAAAAAAAAAATAACATTCGTAAATAGAGGTTCATTGAATACCTCAGCAATGCTCATAAGTATAAAAGTACGTACAGAGAGGGGAAAAAACACTATATATAGAGTGATTGTGCACCAATGCTACTTCCATAACGCTATCAGAGAAAAGTTCATTTTTCAATTGGCAGAATAAATATTACAGAAAAGGTGCAAGAATATGGTTTTTTAAATTGTTTTTCTTCATCTCTTCATTCGTATTGATGGGGTTCTAGCATGACTATGCATGCTACTCCAGTAATAAACTTGTAGTTGAAAGCAAAACGTTACGGGGCGGAGGTAAATTATGCTGTACATGACTTCCATATCATGATTATCACGTTTGCACCAGTCATGATCACATTCCTTCGTCGTCCATTCACGTCCCGTAATACCAAATTCGGTATACGCGAAGCTAGGAAACGGCGGCGAGTGCATCATTAAGGGCCCAATATACACCGATGCCACGTTGACGCGCGCGCATGCTGGGTGCAGCGACGCTACACTATAGCAAAACGCGAGCACAGGCGCGACCAGCGTCCGTCGGCGCGACCCGGCAGCAACCGGCGCGAAATGCGACATGCTGCATTTCGCGGCGACTACGTTACCCACACAGCACCGCGCCTGCCTCTCTTCTTCACGGAGCCCCGCCGCGGTGGTCTAGTGGCTAAGGTACTCGGCTGCTGACCCGCAGGTCACGGGTTCGATTTCCGGCTGCGGCGGCTGCATTTCCGATGGAGGCGGAAATGTTGTAGGCCCGTGTACTCAGATTTGGGTGCACGTTAAAGAACCCCAGGTGGTCGAAATTTCCGGAGCCCTCCACTACGGCGTCTCTCATAATCAAATGGTGGTTTTGGGACGTTAAACCCCACAAATCAATCAATCTCTTCTTCACGGAGGGACGCCGGGCGCGCTCAAACGCGCATGCGTCAAAGCAATGCACCGTGGCGGACACCTGCATGGCAGGCAGATCTGCGCCTGGCGTGGCATAGCCGTTGTGACGCGACTAATCGAACGCCGGCGCGCCGGGTCACGTTTAAGCGTATTGGCGCCTTGAGTGTGGCATATAGTGATGTTCTTACAGGACACGCATCTCATGATTATCATGTTTGCACCAGTCACACACCCTCACCATCTATTCACGTGACGTAATACCAAATTTGGCATATGTGAAGCCAAATTTGGCATATGTGAAAACGACCGCGAGCGCATCATGAGCGTGGCATGTAGTCATGTTGTTACATGACACGCATGTCATAATTTTGATGTTAGGGTCTGTCGCTTGTGTTCGCCATGCAATCATGCCATACCATACCAGTTTTTCAACATGTCATGTTAACGAAACCACCGCAACAGCAGGAAGACCATGGAATGTAAATCATGACATTCATGACACACAGTCATGATTTTCATGTTAAAACTAGTCACTTATGCTCGTCTTATGATCATGTCATGTCATACCACGTTTGGTATCGATACTATTACGGGAACGGCCAGAAGAGCTAAAAGTCGTAAGCGGATGGATGGATGGATGGATGGATAGATTATCTAGATAGATAGATAGATAGATAGATAGATAGATAGATAGATAGATAGATAGATAGATAGATAGATAGATAGATTATCTAGATAGATAGATAGATAGATAGATAGATAGATAGATAGATAGATAGATAGATAGATAGATAGATAGATAGATAGATAGATAGATTATCTAGATATATAGATAGATAGATAGATTATCTAGATAGATAGATAGATAGATAGATAGATAGATAGATAGATTTTCTAAATAGATAGATAGATAGATAGATAGATAGATAGATAGATAGATAGATAGATAGATAGATAGATAGATAGATAGATAGATAGATAGATAGATAGATAAGTACGCTCAAAGTCGCCGAAGTTCGCTAATAAATGCTTCGCATTTTAAAGAAGAGACAACAAACGTGTCGCAATGCGCAAACAGAGACAGTCTCCAAGCGCGAACATTCCTTTGATTGGCAGATTGCGCTTCTCTCACAAGTAATTGTAACGATGAGCAAGCTTCCTGCGTCTATTAGGCAATGAACAACATACATACTACGAGATTAGGCTGCAGTGGACGCATTTTGTCATCCAAAAATGGGCTCACAGCTCTCGCAAAACGCACCACTGCATTCGTGCGAGCCGCCTATCCATAACGATGGTGCGGCCACCCGAGGTGGAGGCGAATGGGGCGCAGTGAAATATTCTTTTGCGGCCCACTCTTCATATCTGCATAGATAAAGTGCCCCTACCACAGAGAACCACAAATTTTTGAGTGACCATGTTATGGCTCTTCGTAAAATGCATGAACAACGGTGGTGTTTTAGAATCAATCTATTTTTTTTTTGTTAAATTGCCAGGCACACACAAAAAAAAAGATCTTGTTTCCGAAGTAGAATAGGCTCAACTTCCCACGAACTGCTAGATCTCGGGAAAATACTTGGACCTACTCATCCTTCTCAGCATGCGACGTCAGATTTTGAAATTTCTGTTCAGATACCTATAGGACATTATTTATAAACTGTAACGTAATATACCATCATCATTTCGTGGAGAAATGCAGATATCACAATTAAATCAGTGATACTTTTTATCCTCTTTTCTCGTATTCCTCATACTCTTAGGGCCTATCCTGTCCTCAATTCCCATTTCCTTCACAGAATAGGTGCATTTATATACGCCGGGAGAATTTATTATTTGAAAAAATCTCTTTTTCTATCTTTCTCTATATGGCTCCTCAGCGAGCGTTTGACGTACACAGTTCAGCCGACGTGGCCTCCTTGTGTCTCTGAAACGTCCGCAGTGACCAATGGTCTGCCCCTAGTGACCAGGTACATGGCAAAGCAAAAAGCGCTCATTATGAGAGCAGTCGCGAGACAAACGTAAGTGAACATCATGGGGTCTTTCTCAATGAAGAGGCCGACAAAAAGCGGAGGCACCATGGTTCCCAGGGAAGCCGCCACCGTCACCATAGACATCAGCCTGTTGGTCATGACGACGAACTGTACGGTGTAGGACACGGCAGCAGCGAAGATGGCCGCGAGCGAAACACCCGCAAGTCCCGACAGAGTCCACAGCCATGTGGCGGAGGAATCACCGAACACCACCAGCAGAGTGAAGATGACAGCAGTGAGCAGTTGGCAAGTGATGAGGATGCAAGAGGGTCTGGCAAGCATGGACCAAAGCACAGAACCAATCCTCGCAACTGTGAATGTTAGGAAGTAGAGGGACGTCAGATAGGCGGCTTCGGACTTGGTCATCCGAAGATCGCTCTCAACGGCGAAAGTGGCCAGCATCTGGCCGTAGGAGCATTCCAGTCCCAAGTACGCCATGATGTAGCATCCTAAGAGGCCTACTAGGACCAAGTTCACAGGTTGGCTCGACTGCTCGCCTCCGGACGGCTTGCAGTCCGATCGGTCCACAAGGTACACGACAAACATCGATGTCGCCACGAGTGCTATGAATCCCGATACGATTCCGAACGCGAACGGTAGTTGCGGTTCTCTCGAAAGGGTGTCTGCGCCGATCAGCAGGCCGCCATGACGGGTGGTGTTTGCAGTCACTGAGGTGTTGCAGGACAGGAAGGGCTCGGCAACGAATGGCGCTATGAAGGCGCCCACTCCAAATGCGAGGTGGTATACCTGGAGCACCGGACCACACCCGGAAGGCCACAAGTTGATGAGCCACACGTTTGCACCTGTGGAGCCGAAAGTGGCAGTTTTCATAGTTTCGGATCAGTACTCCAAGAAAAGAACGAGTGAAAAGGGTATCCTACAAAAATAATTGTCACCTATCTTGCGTTTCTTTCCTTGCAATATCGCCGCGCGTCCGGCACTATCAGGTCACAAACGATCAGTGTGATATAGCTTTTTTTTTTGGTAGGAAATTCGTGGCCAGTACTAAGTTTTTAAGAAAGAGAACGCAAGCAAGTCGGATGATGATTATTCTTATCGGACCCCCTGTTTATTCGATCCCTTGGGGGGCGGAGGGGACCGCAACGTTGTTTTGTGGAGTATAACAAGGTAGATAGAACTGGTAGTGAAGGCTGAACATGTACCGCCGTGGTGGTCTAGTGGCTAAAGTACTCGGCTGCTGACCCGTAGATCGCGGGATTGAATCGCGGCTGCGGCGGCTGCATTTTCGATGGAGGTGAAAATGCTGTAGGCCCGTGTGCTCAAATTGGGTGCACGTTAAAGAACCGCAAGTGGTCGAAATTCACGAAGCCCTCCACTAAGGTGATCGAATAATCATGCGGTTGTTTTGAGGCGTTAAGCCCCACATATTATTCAATTAGTCAGTTGCCAGACTATGGGGTGGTTGTTGTTAAGCTGCCGCCAACTTTGGCGGAAACATTTGCCCCTGTAGTTTTGCCTTCCCTGTGAGAGCTCTGTGTCGCCCGCGGTGCATTTTGCGAGTGCTTGTGGCCGTTTTAATTAACGGAATGAACGTATAACACGCGTTGCAGAAGTCTGGATGCGTTAAGTATAGATACTTCATATGCTACCTTTAGGTACCAGAGCTGCGCATACCTTTTCCTTCCACCGCTCACGCCGCTATTTAGCGAGCGCTGTCACGTGGAACGAAAGTGACGTCAAATGTTGCAATTCACGCGGCGAAGCCAATTTCACGTGCACGATGGCGCGGCGCCCACACGTTCTCTGCCCGCACAGACTTCAGCCTCATCGCGACTGCCGTTAGGCGCTTTACATGTACGTGTACGATTCGCGTTACCATGTTACCGGATGGAATCTGCGCCATGCGCAGGTCTTTACGGAACGTAAACCTTTATGTTACGTAAATCACCCGCCGGGTAGGCTGTATATTTACGGCGCTGTTTCACAAATCCACCTTCGTGCGTAGAAACTCGCGATATCCTCATTGCGGACATTCCAGGCATCGTGTCATAATAAGCCGAAGTGCGAGCGCCAATGGCGATTAGATTGCTTCAGCCGGATTACCAAAGCTAAAGTGACTGAAACATGGAAGCCGCAAACGTATGAACCCCCAACATAGGTGGCTTCATCTAGCAGTCTCAAAAGGAACCAGGCGATCACAAAATTGTTTTTGCAGAAACATTGTACGCCTGGTGTAAAAACCGCACTGCGGCGTTATCACGACGGAGTTACGTTGTTTATTCACTTTCACATCACTGATTTATTTGTTGTGTTTAACTTCCCAAAACCACTATATTTTAAAGTAAGACGCCGTAGTGTAGGGCTCCTGGAATTTCGACCACCTGGGGTTCATTAACATGCACTTAAATCTAAGCACACGAGCCTCAACCCTTTTTGTAACTTATAGAAACCGTGGAACATAATGGCGGACCTATGCGCAACTCTGCTAGGGTGGCTAGAATGGGGAGGTGTGATGACCAGCCTCCGGAGGCTGGCCCAAAAGCGCGTTCCTGCCGCGCGATGGCGCTGCCGGTGGGGGCGCTGTGCTTTTCTCGCGTCGTCTACTTGCCTCTGGGCGGGTAAATGATTCGACCGCGCTCAGTTTTACCGCTGTAGTCTTTTCAATTATGTTGTTGACGTCGAGAAACTTGTACGTGTAATCTACAAGCGCAAACCACGCAGCCGATACAGAGCGTGGGTTTCGCGGCCACTTCTTGCGAGGTGGGCGCGCTTGTCACGCGAAAAATAGTTTAGAGGAATCTCTCCCGCAGACCAGCAGGTGGCAACAACCCTGTGTGTGTCGCTCGCATATTTGTTATACATTTTCGATTGCAATAGTACTTTAAAGAGTGGAAGTCAATGCAGTTTTTATGCAGTGCGGCAGAAGAATGCAATAAAGTACAAGACTACAAGACTGGTGGCTTGATACAAGTTTATTGGAAACAGTACATTAAAACATTACATAACACAGAACTTCACCTTCTTGGCTTTATTCTGCACAGCATGCTGGTTTAGCCTTTTCAGCAGAAAATGGACACGCGTAATGCTGTAGAACCTGACAACCGATGTTGTTAAAGAAGCTGAATGCTCACTGCAGCCAATTTGTGGCACATTGGCTGCTAGGCGCAAAAAATCCTTCACAACTTTGGTGTGCAAGCGCGTGGTGCTAAATGCACGAGTTAGTCTATCCTCAAGGGTTTTGATTAGACTATATAGACGGACAGAGGGGTAAAGAAGGCCCCCCATGTCCCACTTTTTACACGCTTCTGCTGGCAATTGATCCGTCACACTATCACGTGTGACGAGGCAGGCATCCTTGCAAGCTTCGCATTGGGTTGAGAAGATCCGCTTCCTGGCTACATATCCTGCAATATAATAGGTGAGGCGGTCATCACTGCGTTCTTCAACGTAGTCAGCGTGGTCAATCGCAACCTCTGCTGCTTCGACAGGTAGTGTAACGTCGTCACAAGCTGGTGCTTCCTCGCGGCTCTTCTTTGTGTCCTCGCGGCTCTTTTTTGCAGGCACGGAAGAGCCCTATCCCATTCTCCTCTTCCTCTCTTTTGGCAGAGTTTTCGTCATATACTTTGGAAGGTTCGGGAAAATTGTTGGAATAGCACTCTCCTTAAGGGCAGGCACATCGCGTGGTATATGGACCTCCTTTCCATTCACAATGTGCACGTAGTGTCTCATGATAAACCTGAAAACATAATAAAAAGTGAGCGTAGCCTCTGTAATGAAGGCACTTCGGATTTCCAAGCAACGAAACAACAATTAATGCATGTGCTAGAGCGTTAGGTGACACACATCTAGCCGCGGGTCGATGGAGGCAGAACGCAAAACGCGCCCACGTGGAGCAACATGCCAATGTAAGTACAAGAACAACCGATCATCTGAATTAGTCTGGCTCTTTCCACTGCACTTCTGCTGCTCATGACCCGTGTGTCACACCGGGTCAGTGTGTTAACTTGTAGAAACCTCAAGTTTTCTATATGCTTAAACATGTACGAATTCCATACGTACCTTGGGTCAAAATGCCTTTCGCAAACTGCAGAATTCTCTTGCAGTGGCTTGTCGGCCCTTGGTATGGCACGTGCCCACTTTTCAAATTCATCCTCACGGGCAGGTGCACAAAAGAGAGACAGTCTTTCACCGCAGGACTTGTAGCCGGCGTCGCAACCTGGCACAAAGCACCACCTCTGCGTTTTTTTTTCCCCGTCGACGGCATTCTTCAGAGCGGTTCAAAAATCGACGACAACCGCTGACATCATCTCCTTCAAGAAATCGGGAAGCGATAGAAAAAGCAGGCCGTACTTCGCGAACAGCGACAGCTTACTTGCGCTGCTCCGTCACCAACGAGACACGAGCAACACATGCTCACAGTCGGCACACGCCAACAGCGCCCCAGACTGACGCGCCAAATTTCCCCCCAGCGGCGAGAACGCGCATAGGGGCCTCGCTAGGCAAGAGGACGCCGCCGCAGTCATCACACCTCCCCATTCTAGCCACCCTAACTCTGCTCCCGTAGGGAGCATATACAGTAACTCTAGCGTTAAATAGAGTTACTGTATATGCTCCCTACGGGTAGCATATACAGTATATCTAGCGATGGATGGATGGATGGATATGGCTGTACCCTTTAGATCGGGCGGTGGCTAGCGCCACCAAGCCGTAATACCTAATGAACCAAAAACTATATTTATTTTTTTTCCTTAAAAAGTGAGTTTGAGAATTCGTACTTTGCAGTGAAGAGTTTAATTTTCACTCTTGTCTTGACTTTAGCCACCAATCAGATAACCTCCTTCTGGTTAAGTCTACCCGCTTAAAGTTTATTTTGCCCTCCCGTTCACTAAACCCCAGTGCTTTAAACAGACTGTCGCGCCATCTGGGAGCAGAAACACAAAACAAAAAATGCGTTTAATAGTGGTTGTGCTGATAAGCAGGTGGCGCGACAATCTGCCCACTCCTAGGGTGCCTCGATGCGTGAGGCACTCTACTCCCTCCCGAAAACTGGGCCAGTGACATGTTCGACAGATGGAGCCTATGGGGAGTTTCGCAACTCGTATGATTGAACAGCTCTGACGTGGGTAGTAACAGGAACGGTCGACTTCACTACTGTTTGTTCAGACCTGGTTTAGACCAATCGACGAGCTGCGTCACATCACCAATCGCAGAGCTGGCGTCACTGCGCGTAGAAGGAGCATTGGTCAGGCGTAGGAAAGGAGCGCAGGAATTGTTTTTCGAAATGGAGGCTTTGCGCAGCGCAATAATATTCAGAAAACGTGATCGCTGCGGTATACTCTGCGAATATCCGAGCTTGTTCAGGAGGACTTTTAACTGGCCCTTTAAAGACAGAAAAATGGTTCATGTGCCTTTGCTATCGCGACCAACGTGTTCACCGGCGTCCGCAGCGCGTTGGCTGTTCGCTCGCGAAAAAAAAAAAAAAGCCAGGCCTTCGCAGCACAGCGAAAGCTAGAAGAGCGGCCTTTCAGAGCCTTTTATAAACACTCATTGGATAACTGCTGCAAGCACATTTGCTGGGCACCCACTACGGCAATTTCTGGGTGGTAGACCAGCCTTCGCTATAGCGAATGCTGGTCTACGCCGGTGTTCGGGACTTGTTGGCAAACTTACCTTACCCAGTCTCGATGTCGAGAAGGCAATCGCGTTAATACGAGTTATGAAGCAGTTTAAAACAGCGAAACAACATCCAGTCGTCGCACGATGCAAAGAGCGCGGGTGGGTGGTTGGTGCTCCAACCCATTACAAAAGATTGTCCTTTTTTCCCTATTACCTGTGGCACATACCCACTTCAGGCATCATTCCTCATAGTCATCAGCCACTGCATGAAGAATTGGCACAGTGAGAGGACTCGGACCAACTACGGTAGACAAAAGCTAGCGCACCTTATTCCTTCGTTTTTAAACTCAAATACCATGGCCACCACCATAGTGAATGAAAGTCAATCCCCAGCAATTTTCAAAAAGAAGATACACGCTTATCTACTCATGCTTCAAACGTGATATGTCTTTTTTGTGTGTTAATGAAGTGCAACTCGTGTAGCTTTGCTGAAACGCACTGTAAATTTTTCACTTCCTCACAACTGTTCACAACTACGTTTTTGTTTTTATAGGATTTTAAAGGGCTTTTATGTGTAAAGAGTGCATTTATATATGTGTAATTATTTCTTATCTTTTCCACGCTCTACGTCTACACTTTGTATATTTCACTGTATTGAATCTATGTATTTATGCTCTAGACACACATGCTGAGTGTTGTGCATTATTGTGGTCTGGGCGGGGATCGGTGCATTGTCAGGCATTCAGTTGCCTTTTCACCACCCCTTTCCATTCAACCACTGGATAAGTGATGTATGTTTAAAACTATGATGATGAATAAACTTCGAATAGAAGACGAAACTCAATGGGCACAAAATTCATTTGCAAGTGTTTGGCGCATACCACACTTCTCAGAAGAATGACGAAAAATAGCATAGCGAATGCAGGCCGGCCTACTACCTAAAAATGTTTATTATAAGTGCCGTAGTGGGTATAAAGCAAGTTTGCTCGTAGCAGTTACCCAATGAGTGTTTAGAAAATGCTCTTCTAGCTTTCGTTGTGACTGTGCTGCGCCTTCGGCCTGGCGTTTTTTGTCTAGAAGTTGCGTCGTCCCTCCGATATGTATCTGCTGCAGTCAGCGGACCGATGGGCGCATGGCTTGGTTACTTTAACTGGTCGATCGCGGGTGCCCTGACGTAATGGGAATACATCTGACATCGTGAGTTAGGGTCTGCGCGCTTGGATTGATTGATGGTGCAAACTGCAGGTGACCAACGTGACCTCTATTTCTTGCTGAAATCAGCGCATCTGAGAAAAGTTTGAGGCTGGTCGGGCATTTTGGCGCAGCGTGGCCGGATTTCCGTAAATGCCATGGTTTTGGCGCGGCACGGCGCAGAAATGGATATTTTTATTAAATTAGCGCAGCTGTTGCACCTCTGTCTGTGGGAGAAGGAACGTACATATGGGGGTGTAGACAGAACGGTTATATTATTCTTGTTCATTCGTGAGTGCTCCCTTGGTTTCTCGCACCAGCTTATCGCTGATCATAGAAATGAGAGAATCAGGATCCTGCTTGACGCAGCCTCGAAGGCTTGGTAAACACTCGTTGAGGTCGGCCCTGATTACAGCGGAACTTGCAATACCTCGTTTAATCAATTTGGAGTGCCCTCCCCTGAAATGAACTGGGATTGAAGAGGGCAAGCACCTAAGACGACTCGAAGGCAAAATATCGGTCGATGCAACCTAAAGGTATAGCGTATTACACAGTAACTCTACATGTATCATCATTTATATCTGCCCCCGGCAGGCAATGAATGCAGCTATTCTATTACACTCCAGGATTGGAGGCCTCCCTGTCCCTCGCGTGGTTTCGCAATGCCACCTTCGTGATCGACATATATATTCGACCGAACGACAATTATATGTAATGACGACGCCATCCTCATATGTGGCGTCACAGTGGCGTCGCGATTACTTTTTGCCTTACTCTTGCAGATGCAGCCGAAGGTGCATTTGAATTAAAAGCATCCAAGGCTTTCACCTCAATATAATGAATAAATTTATTATGCTGGGGAGCTCTTCTCGACGTACCCACCTGGTGGATATATCCACTTCGGAGGAGCGCTTTTAGTTACTTAAAAAAAGCTGAGCCCGCCAGCACACTGCCAGCCAAAAGGGAATGTGGACGAAATGGGCTTTAACGGAACTTGACGTGTCCGCACCTGCGTATGCACGTATGATAACGATGCGGGGGATGCGTATCGACCTTCGAAGTGCATCATGCGGACGGCCGCGTTAAGCCCAATTCAAGGGCTAATGTGATTAGAGTTCGTGCACGGTCTCGGATATTGGCGTCCAAATGCCTATCTCTGGGGGCGACATTCGTTATGGCGAAGCGCATTCCGTCCCTCTCGTTTGTGCCGACCATTGTGAAAACTTCGTGGCGTTAAAATGACTTACAGGCGCGGTGGTTTGGACTAGTGGGTATGATACGACGATTGTTATAGCGCCAGATCAGAATGACGACAAAGGGCGGCGCCTCATCACTCGTCTTCTTTTTGTCCCTTTGTCGTCGTTCTGATCTCGCGCTGTATACCAATCGTTAAAATGACGTTGCGGAAAAAATACCGGAAACAGGGAGCACGCGGAGGCCGAAGTGGACAGTGCACAAAGTTGTAGAAAATCGCGGTTCCGCTCGAAACGCAGAAACTCACCGGTGTCCAAGGCACCCATGGAAAATCCCGCCAGCACGGACGTGCCATGCGCGTACAGAAGCTCACCGGACGATGGCGTCACGAACACGCTGGCCGACGTGAGCGCCGTGAACAGCACGCTCAGAAGCTGCGTATTCAGCCGGTCGTAGAGTAGACCCCCTGCAACGCCGACAACGAAGAATGCTGCTTATATATTGGGCGCGAAACACACAAAGCGAGGAACAGGATGAGCGGCACTTCCTACAGAACTGCCTGCATCATTAATCCAGAAATAGAGGACATACGTGCGCATGTTTGCATGATTGACGAAGGCCAAATAGGAACATAGAGTGCACAGCACGAGTGGTCGTGTCTTCACAGGCAAGGGGTTAGCTTCTCTGCTTGGCTCATGTGACATGTTGAAGGATGCGCACGCGTGGATAAGTGATCTGCTGTACTGTCGGACTTATACGCATACGTCTGCTATTCCCGGCATTGTTTTCCTGTATTTAGTTTCGTCTTTAGCACTACGTCAATCATGATCAGCAGTCTCCTTTTCAATACGCACAATCTAACAGGCACATCACTTATACAAATTGATACGCATGTTACCATTGAAAATATCTGAGTTTATTAACGCTCCAAGACCACTAAATGATTATGAGAGATGCCAAAGTGGAGGGCTATTTCTACCATGTGGTGTTTTTCCACGCGCACTGAAGCCGAACAGTACACGGACGGGCCTCTACCATTTCGCCTCAACCGAAATGCCTCCGCCGTGGCCGCGATCGAACCGTAGTCACTTATCCACATTGGCGGGTTGTGAATATCGAAAAACATATTGTTTGATCACTGCATAGCCTCGGTTTCAGTAAGACTGCACATGTATGTAACCCCGAAAAAGACCCTTCGTTCTCCTATAAAAGGCAAACTGTGTGCTCAAGTTTGCACACGGCACGACCTTGTTTTTTAAAAGTGCGAAGCAGCTCTTTTATTAGCCTGCCGTTACCTGCACAGCCGCCACGCACGTGCCGGGACTCCTACCGCACGCAAGCGGGGGACAAATAAACCGATTGGCGACGCTTTTTCACTCTCCGCTTGGGCGCGGCAGGTTGCCGGCACGTGCGTTGCGGCTGTGCGGCGAGCGCGTGTTAAGGCCCTAACCACAGAACACCTATACACACTATCATTGCCCTAACGCAATCCCTCCGTCCGCCCCGCTCCCTTGCCAAGTAGCTCACGCCCTCCTAGCACTGCAAGGTGACGTCTCTCTCCCTCGCCTGCCACGTGTCAGCTCTCTCTCACTTCACCCTCTCCACCGCTCGCAACGCTCGAGCACACTCCTCACGTGGGCATCGTCTCACCCGCGCCACCTCTGTCGGCGCGAAGCCGCGCGATCCGGCTGGGGAGGTGCCAACAATTCGGACAGCGCACTGCTGCTTGCCGCGCCGATGGGAGGGACGCCGTCGTGACATGCTTCCCAATTTCCACTAGTTTGCGCGTACCTTTCCCGGCTGTCACCGGCATTGCGAGGGTTAGCGAACCCGATCGCGTTCACGAATGGTGACGTCAACACTGATGAGGTGTGAGTTAAGAAGATCGCGTTCGAGAATACAGACAGCGCGCGGGTAACACCGACGAGACGCGAGCCGAAGAAGGCAAGCGTCTTCGACGCGTCCCGTCTTCCGTGTCTTTGCGTTTCAAACAAACGTTTGCTCGAGTAAGTGCTACACCGAGTTTCGCTTCAAACCGTTCTTCCAGCACCCGCGTCAACGCCCGTTTCAACCAGGTCAATGCCGTGCACACCGCTGCTGCTTCACACCCCATAAGGGTTCCCTTCGGAGAGATGGGCCTTAGTTGCTTTCTTTCTTTCTTTTTTTTACGCTCTGTAGAAATTTTTTTCTCCTTCCATACGGTGCCTTAGCGTGGCGTTATTAGTGAACACGCATGCTGACTCGTGGTCACGAGTTCAAATTGCGTAGGCGTGTTTACTGTAAATTTCCTTAACTTCATTTCTGAACGTGATGCCTGTATATTGGTTCTACGTACATCTAATCACATCCCTGCACAAACTTTAATACAGCAGTTAAATGAGTACTGACACAATTTTTTAACGTAGCAAAAAGGAACATCTTACGTTTATTTTGTAGACAGCGCTAACGCTCCCCGCACGCCAGTTAGACAAGTATAAAACATTTTACTTTGAATTTAACCTTTTCGTCACTAAGCATCAGCAAGCCATGGAGCCCTGAAGCAATGGGCATTCACCCGAGAAGCCAAGACAGTTCCACCGAGTTTGCGAATTTTGCATTCTCCATGAAGCGAAAATCGCAAAAGTCACGGTCGGGGTCAGTGGACGGCAGTTTTATCGTCGTTGTGTGATAATAAACTGATTGATTGATTGATTGATTGATTACGCGCGCAAGGAGCAGAGGACATATCTGTCACTCGCACGAGCCGGGTTGCTATTACCCCATGACGTCACTGAGAGGCTGTTCTCTTGGTAATGCCACCGCAAGTACTTTTCTAAGGTAACATACGGTATTAAAAATATATTAGATGCATTCCCAGTCACTGCATTACTCTTCTTAAGGTTCTCGACATCAGTATTTTCAACTAGAGCAACAGTCTTTCTTTTGCGCAAAGAGTAATGGTTGCTCCTTTGAGGAATATCGGGAAGGGGGAGTAAAGTTACGCCCAAAACGAAGAAATGGCTGCGGCAGATTAGTTACTTCCGAGGGAAAACAACCTCGATAGCCCTCTTCTTTTTTTACTTCATAGAGTGCACTTATGTCTGGGTTAATGCGCAAGGTAATTCTATCGGAAATGCCACTCATTCCGTGATCGTGCTCCTCCCTTTGTGTGTGTTCTAGTGCGCGGCTAAGTACATGTCTTTAAATAAGTACCGAATCGGCCAGCAAACAGCCTTGCTAAAAGAAGATTGCCGCTGCAGCGTAGTGGAAGAAGCAGCAACTGGGTAACTAGGCTTACCGAAGAAGCTGCCCGCCAGGATGCCGACACCGCGAGTGGTGACCAGCTGCGCGACGCTGCCCACATCGGTGCCGTACACGTCAGCCAGATCCAGCAGTGCCACTCCCGTCACCGAGAAGAACAGGCCCTGGCACGTGCAACACGGACCTTCGTCAGAGGGGTGCGGTATCCTTCGAGGCACCCGAAGGCACCGGCCAGTTTGTCCAAACAAACTTAACAAGGTTTTGTAGCAAGAGCTACACTGGCCGCATTCTCGCCGTTTCGCTGTGGCCGGTGGCCGCACCGCGAGCTGAGAAGTTGCATAGCAACCACCGCAGCTGGCAGCAGCGCTCGCCGCGCCATGTGGCAGAGGAGGAAACCATGTGGCAGCATGACCTCCGAGATTGGCTGGTGGCGCAAAGCCCAGCGGGGCAGTCGCCTCCTGAAGGTGCCGCGAGATGCCGGTCGTGCCCTATGGATCGCGCGGCACTCGTCTGCCTGGCGCGGCGTGTAGTCGCGACATCAATCGCAATGGCGCGTTGGTATCTATTCGAGACACGTTATAAGCACGCAGTCATCGTCTTGCTACAAAGAAGTGAGGTACGTTATTAAAAAGTTACTCTTTGGTTTTGCTGGTGGCCGTTTTAAAATCCCATTTTGGCTGCTAGCGCGTAATATTCAATCTAGATTGCATGCAAGCTTGCTGGACGGCGTTTTCCAAGTTGTCGCAAATTATGACAACGCGTAGGTATGCTCTTTTTATTCATTACTGAAGTAAGCACTCTGGCTCAAACGTCACATGTGCATTTAACGCGACAGCGTTAAAGAGTTGATTTCGCAAAAATTTCGGCGTTGCCGTCGTTGGTTTCGAGCGAAAAATCATCTTCTGCGTGACCGAAAAATAAATAACCATGCAAATGAAGTAAACAAACAATAAAAAATCCTGGAACAGAGTGCGTACCAAACCAGGGTTGTTTGGGTCTAAGTGGGGCTACAACCCAGGTCGTTTGCGTGGGAAGCGAATGTTCTACCATACGGCCATGTTTCTACTTGTGGGAACAGTGAAAATAACTTCCTCTGCTTGGAAATCTAGTGAAAGTAGCTTTCATGCTTCACGAACACCCGCGTCCTGCATACATGAAATATTGCAGGTGTAATGCACGCTACAAGCGTACGCGTCCATTGCCAATTGGCTTCAGAATATGCGATTATATTTATGGCTCCGTGGTTGAAAGCCGGTACCCCACCACTGACCTCCACTAGGGAGCTGGATGGCGCACCGGCGCTACCCGAAGCGGAGCTTGCGAAGCCACCGGAAGTGCCGCCGCTTGTCCCGGAAGGAGGTGGTCTGCTGCGCTACGCGGTACGCGCGACGCGAGTTATGCCGGCGTGCTGCTGTTCTTTGGATCGCGTTTCGTTAGTTTCTTTTTTGTAAATACTTGCTCGTGGTTAGAAGAGTAAGCCAAGTAACAATAAGGGCTATGTAGGCACAGATCAGGGTTTGTTTAATGCGCTTTTAATGAGACAGCGTATGCACGTAAAACTGCATTTTTCTGACGCGCGTCCGTTTTCTTTTTCTCAAGATTCGGAGTGGGCTGTCCGGTCTTGTACAAGGCGTGGGATCTAGCGACGCAGGCCGCGTTCATAGAAGCTTTTACGGCCGCTTGCACGTGTCTCTGCGGATTTCTGAGTGTTTGTTGTATTTGTTTGGTTTGATCTCGATCTTTTCCTTTTTTTTTCTCGTTGTAGAGAGTGGCCGTCGCTTGAGGGTTACGGGGGGCGTTGCCAACAGTGTTTTCAGCCCGGATTGGTAATCCACCAAATCAAGTCCCCAGGAGACAGTGATTGGTCTGTGTATCGGGGGTTGGAGCCTAAGTAACCCATCAAAACCACGACACAAGGTCATAGGGTCGAATCCTCAACTTACCTTAACCTTTACTGAATCTAAATGAGAACTTCAGCAACAAAGTTTCCTATAACTCAGACCAAGCTGTTCTCTGTTTTATTATAACCAGTGTGTTTTATAATAAAAACCGTGTGAATAGAATTCACTCCACATAAGCTTGATATCGATTTGTAGTAACAGAGAACATGAAACTGAAGAAAAGGACCTGAAGGCCGAATGGCCTGTTTATTGGAGCTGATGTAGAAGACACGTACTGGTCAATTTGTGTGAATGTTTTACTGGTGCTTGAATAGGATAAGCTTTGTCAGCTGCTTGCGGATGTTTGATCCAGTTATCTTGGCCGTCGCCGTCTTCGCGGTGTGATGCATGCTTATCTTTATATAGGAGGCGATCACACACTTTACCAGTCGCACAAAGTGGCTTGAGTCAGCCGCGGATTCGAACATGTGATCATGTAACTCGGGGTATAGCTTCTCAAGGTGACCGGAAAGCTCTGTCATAACTGAAACTGTCAATGAATCGGAAAGCTTCCCCTTCTTTGGAAGGCTTGTGCCATGCAAGTTGTCTTCTCTGCGTATCACTTTCTCTGTGGTCTGGCAGGTGTAAATTGTAGATGATGACGGCTTCTGCAGACTACCACGGTTTTTCCGGTCAAAGAAGGCCCGACGGACTTCTCTCCGACACAGTTGCTGCATGGCATGTAGCACAAGGAATTCTTCTGCGCACCATCAGGCACACAAAGCCCGCAATGTAGCGGTGATGTCACGATGTACGGCGAGAGCGAAGGAAGACGCTCAGCCTCCCTTTCCAACTCGCTTTCCTCGGAAAGCTCGAGATCACGCTGGAGATCTCCACCACCATTCTGCTTTGCCACAGTCATGTCCAGCTCATCATGAGCCCCGATCCCGCTGCTTACATACAAAATCCGGGTTTCATCAAGAGCGTCACAATTTCCTCGTCCTACTTTGACCTCAGTGTGCACAACTAGGCGTTTATAAGCTGCCACAAATTGCGCAACTGTGGGGTTGTTGTTCCACCCTCCTTTGCAGCGTATGGCAGCGAAGAAGAGTTCAATGTGGTCTTGCGAGAGCTTGTACATCAGCAGGTAGCGCAATGGGGCAGCTTCTCCAAGGAGCAAGGAAGATGCCAGCCCGATGGTGCTTTCAATGCTCATGAGAAAACCAAGAAAGGCAGTCTTCCGCGAAGTCTTGAAAATGGCAATCCCTGTTGGCCCAGTGAGGCCTCTAATGTACTCCTTAGCTTCCTCCAGAAACGACAACCAGATACCCTTGCTACCAGGCCGAAGGGGTGCTTTAAATCTCTTAGCCACAGGGTTTCGCGAATTCAGGCAGTCAAACAGCCGGTCGAAGAGGCGAATGAACTTCGTAGTCGCTTGAGAATCCTTGAATTGAGGCAGCTTTAAGTCTTCCCGACAGAAGTCAATGGCGTCTGCCACACTGGCACTCAATGTTTGGGCGGCAAGGTTTACCTTCATTTTTTGCTTCTGCCACTCAATATGTGCCGCCGGAAGCTTAGTTGCAGCGTGCAACCCCTGTTGTTCCTGGAGCTTCTGTAGCTCATGGATGTAGTGCCACTGTATTAACAACCCCGATGAATCCTTCAGACTGCGGAGAGAGGCGAGGGCGTTGCGCACAAGTTTTAGCATATGGCACACATCAAGAAAACAGTGCACCTTCTCATTTGTGAGAGGGTGCTGGAATGACGTCACCATTTCGCACTCATCCACCAGTGAAGCCCCCAGGTCCTTGAACATCGCAAAATTGCAGCTCAGCCCATCGCAGGTCAGTGACACTATGCGAACTCCTGCTTCGGCAAGTTTTGTCAAGCATAGCTTCACAACGTTTGCTCTTCTTTTCCAGTCATTCCATTTATGAGGAAATACCCACAGGGTATTTTCCAATGGGAGTCCAGAGAAACAACCATGAAGACCATGGCTTCAGTTGCCACATCATTGCTGTCGTCATCCATCTCGGTGCCAATATCCACATAGCCTCTAAACTTCCTTCCATCCCACTCCACGTGCTTTCTTATTGCCATCTCATCTACCACGAGGCTGCACAGCAGTTCCTTCTGGTTCTTTTTGGCTTCATTAGCCTTCACGCGAATGGCATTCATTGCCTCTTCGGTAAAACCAGGCTCCCCATTCACCGTGCTATACCACTTTGTTATTGTGGATGGGTGTGGTAAGGCCCAGTCAAACGTTTCCCTCACGTAATTATACGCTTTTGTGGAATAGAACTGCAGGGTCAGTGCAAACATGCGCAACGTGGGCGAGTACTTCTACCGGCTCGGCCTGGCTGTCTCTTCACCGTCACGTGACTGCTTCAGGATGCGCTGCATAACTTCGGCACGCCGTCGCAAAAGCGCGCACGGCGTGCCGTCTCAAATATCACCCAGGTGTGTGGCCTTGGGCAGTGGTATAAATCACTTTTGCCGTGCATGTGAGAAGCTACATCCGGGAAAGATCTTCTTGCAGGCCATGACTTTGCGTAGTAGTGATTGGTGCACAGAGAAGAAGAAGTCTCACCTTCTGCAAGTGTTCCGGGAAAGAGAACAGCGTTGGGATGGCGTCGCTTTTCAGACGCGTCCTTGAACCCGAGCGGTCAAAACACGCCTCGGTAAAGTGGCTGCTGCAAAGTCTGCTGCCTGGAGATGGCTTCCATTTGTCTCTTTTGAGGTTAACAACCCACTGCTGGTACAAGTGGGGCTGGGAACGCGGAAACCTGCAAGACAAATACCGGACAGCTTTAACACGCCGTTCAACGCATCGCAAATGCTCCGTGCTCATGCTCCGTGCAAGTCAGTTACGGGGAATTAAGAATGATTTAAGGGCACTTACGCATGAAACGTCTTTCCAGAAGACTTTTCTGGCCTGCTTGTGCAATTAACAGCACAGCAGGCAGGCATTCTTTGAGAGAAGTCCAGAAAACACGCACGCCGGCAGCAGTCAGGCGGAGCAAGCACCGGCTTCCGGGACAAGGCCGCCGACTTCCGGTGGCTTCAAGCCGGCGCGCTCTAAGCGCCATCCAGCTCCCTAGTGGAGGTCAGTGTACCCCACTACAAAAGTCACAGACGCTACTGCGAATTCGAAAAGGTTTCATGTACAAAGTGCAAGTGATGTACGCACTAGGCACAGGATGTCGCTATCGCGTTAAACTCCTAAAGGCAAATCTTTAAGGTCTCCTATTTTTTTCTCTCGCACTTGGAGCGAAATTTTCATA